TCTGCTATGTACATTGGACAAACGTCTCAGACACTTAGCCAAAGGATCAATGCCCACAAAACAGATATCAGACAGGATCACAAAGAAAAAACAATTTCTTGCCATTTCAACCAGAAAGGATACTGTCTCAACGACTTCACCACCTGCGTTCTTCTACAAAGACCTTTTACATCTGCACTTGAAAGGGAATCCTCTGAACTGTCATTGATGTTAAAATTCGATGGGGGGCGGATTGAACAAAGACCCCAACTATCTTACCCATTACCAGGATAGCTTCCTCAATTATCACCTCTAATACCATTAGCTCACAGACATCTAACTTTCCACACCTCTAATATCATTAACTCACAGACACTTACCTTCGTTCCTTCCCCTCCCCCCCCGCATCCGCCTTCTGTTCTGAAATGTGATTTGTCCTTTTCATATTTGTTCATTTTTTAAAATTGTTTCCTTTGGTATATATGGTTGTGACTATTTTCTTCCACTATTTGATCTGAGGAAGTGGGTCTGGCCCACGAAAGCTCATCATCTAATAAACCATCTTGTTAGTCTTTAAAGTGCTACATAGTCCTGCATTTTGCTTCGTCTACACTTTGAGTTTAGGTCAAAGTAAGCTGCATTAGGTTGATTTTATAATGAATGTGTCTACACTGCCACGCCTCTTCCGCCAACCTTAAGGGCTTTTAAATTCGACTGCTGTACTCGGCCTTGATGAAAGGAGTAGTGATAAATTCAACCTTCCAAGGTCAAATTTGGGGTAGTGTGCTCACAGTGCAGTTCAATTTGATGGCTTTGGCCTCGGAGATGTGTCCCACAGTCAGGTCTGCCAGTAGGTGGCGTAAGGGAGCAGTTGTCCTGGGCCCAGCAATTTAAAATAGTGCGAGGCTTCAAGCCACCACTGCGAAGGCAGCAATGGCATCTGGAGCGCTGGGCCCTTTAAATCGCCACTGGAATGCTTTGCAATTCTTTGAAGTTTATGTCATAGCTACCCTTCGTGCCCTAGACTATGGGGGAAGCAGTAATGTCTGGAAAACCTTTCTCTCAGCTCCAAGGGATGGCTCATGGTGGAGAAATCTGTCATTCTCACAGCTTTGATTGCTACCCAGGGCAATTATAATAAACAATGTGTCCTTGTGCTTCCTCCTTCCTGATGTTATCAGAGGGTATGTCTACACTAGCCCCCAGTTCAATCTAGTGAGGCTAATGAGGGCTACCAAAATTGCAATCCCGTGCTTCATTAGCATGTTCCCGGCCGGTCGCCATTTTTTAAATTGACTAGCCCAAAGAAACTGCCCGTGTCTACACGCGGCAGTGAAATGGGATTCCAAATTAAAGCCCCAAATTGAATTAGCTGTTAAACCTCATTCCAGGAGGAATAACTGTTAATTCAATTTAGGGCTTTAATTCGGAATCCCGTTTCACTACCACCTGTTACTTCGGGCTAATCAATTTAAAAAATGGCGACTGGCTGGGAACATGCTAATGATGCGCGGGATATTTAAATCCCATGCTTCATTTGCAATTTCGGTCGCCCTCATTAGCCTCTCTAGATCGAACTAGGGGGCTAGTGTAGACATACCCAGAATCTTGTTATGTCCGCAACTCCTTTTCTATTCAGTGATGCTTGTGTTAACTGTGTAGCCTAAATAAAAGTGCACTATTTCAAAGCAGTAGAATCTTTATACACTGTACCAACTGCATTTTGGGGGGAGGAGGGATGTTGTTTTACAAGGTCATATATGTATAACAAGGGACAACATAGTAATGATCAGCACACATAACTCTCACATCATTGTCTGGTCATTCATAAAACTGGTTTACAGAGCCTCTCTGATGTGCAGTGTTCTTCGATGTGCTCTTCATATTTCCCTGGTGTATGGCTTCTCATAATTGGCCACCAAGCGATCTGCCTCAACTCCCCACCACACCAGAAACTTTTCTCCCATACTTTCACAGATATTAGCAGCACATAGTAAGAAGCAACAACAATGAGAATGTTGCTTTCTCTGAGATCTAACTTAGTCAATAACGGCACTGCCCACCTGTAGTTGACCTGCTCCTTAGTGCTGTCCAGGCTGCCTGTGTACAGCTTCATGAGTCATGGGAGCAAGGAGTAAGTTAGCTCTTCCAGAATATCATTTCAGTGTCACCAAAGATAATTTTCCAGTCTGGGAAGAAAGTTCCATCTTGCAGCTTTCTGAAGAGATCGGAGTTCCTAAAGATGTGCACGTCATACATTTCCACTTCATGTTGGTGTTGGTGAGACAGCCCTTACGATCCACCAATGCTTGCAAC